TAACTAATAGACTTAACATTGATCTTAAAAATTGGGTTTTGATAAAACTAGTGTGACAGAGGTACTAGTAGAACGAAAAAACAGGATTCCAGATTTTATTTTTTAAAAGATACAAAAAACACACCCGGGACAACATTTCTTTGATCAATAAAATTTCAGGAAATGGAGGAAGCTGTTTTGGGACACATTCAAAGCTAGTTAACTTGAACTTGGAAATAGGGTTTTTGACAATGCAACTACGGGAAACAAATCTCTGAACAAATTTTAAATGAAACCTCACCCCTCCCAAAACTGTTCAAGTGGCAGACAAAATAAATTACCATAAATTATATGCCAAGACACCTTTTAAAAAACGACAACAGCAACAACCACCACCCAGGAGTCTGAGGATTTCCTTCCCTCCTCCAGGAAGTGTGTAACACTGCTTCTGGCCTGCAGGCTGGGGCGGATCGGGGACCTGTCACACGTCAGGATAGTTGCAGTAATATACCGCGGAGCTGGCGTCGGACACCACGGAGGAAATGGCCCCGTGGCTGTCGGGGAGATTCACACTGGAGTCATGCCCCTGGTAGGGGAGGCCCATCTCAGGCTTGCACACGAAGTGCAGATACTGTTCAAATTCCGTGCGGTCCACCTCTCCGAGAAGCTCGGCGGGCTGGTTGGGGTCCGTGCCGTCCCGGCAGGGCAGTGCCTCCGGAGGGGGCGACGGTTGTCCGGGACCCGGGGGCTGGTGCTGGTGCTGGTGTTGGTGTTGCGGCTGCATCTGGAAGCCGCGCCCGCCGCCCGCCCCGTGCGAGCCCATCGCGCCGTAGTACATGTGCAGGGCGCTGGGTGGCGCCAGGAGGCCCGGCATCGATGGACCCGCGGGCTCTGGGCCGAGTCTGGGGTGTATGGGGCCGGCGGGAGGCTCCGGGGGGCCAGCGTAGTCCGAGACCTGCGAGTAGCTGTAGGTGCCGGCCGCCGGGCAGTCCCCGGGCATCGGGGCGGCGAAGAAAGCCGAGTCGGGGTCCACGCCGTCCAGCGGGGACGTGTCGGGCGTGGGCAACTGATAGCCGTCGAGCGGAGGCGCGCCCAGACTCTGGCAGTCGCGGTAGTGGCCGCCCATGTGCGGAGGCAGCAGCGGCGGACCGGCAGGGAAGCCCTGCTCGGGGAACGGGAGGCCCAGGCCGTCCATGGCCACTCGGCCGCCCTCGGGGCCCAGCGCCGCCGCCTGCGGCTCGGCCAGGCCGTGTAGGAAGCCGCCCTCCACCCGCTTCAGCCGCTTCACCTGCTTGCGCCGCCGCGGCCGGTACTTGTAGTTGGGGTGGTCCTGCATGTGCTGCACGCGCAGCCGCTCGGCCTCCTCCACGAAAGGCCGCTTCTCCGCCAGCGTCAGCGCCTTCCACGACTTGCCTGCACAGTGGAAGGAAGGGGGAGAGGGGCGCAGGGTTTATCGGCTGCGCTCCCGCCCCAGGCCCCTCCCCGACCCAGACGCATCTCTCGCCTCAGACCTTGAATTGAGCAACTGGGGTGAAGTTAAAAATGGAGGTCTGGGACTCCTGAGTCCAAGCCCTTGGGGAACACCCGTCCTCTAAAGGCACCCCTTTCTTTTGGTCTCCTGGAAGCGGCTTTCCGCTCACCCATCACCTGGTCGTTCGAAAAACAGAAAAGGACACCTAGCTAGGGAAGGGGTCGAGGGATGGACACAACCGGCCCAGTTCGGGCCAAGGGTGCTCTCGCGCTGCTCAGGTGCCGGGAAGTCGCCTTCCCAGAGCCTTTGGACCCACGTCCCCGGCCACCTGGGGAATCCGGGAGCCGGGGAGCACGGCGCAAAGCTACTTTGGAGGCTCGGAGACCGGGAAGCGGGAAGGGAACCGAGAGCCTTAAGAAAGGACATGGGGTCTCGGGCGTCAGGCTCGCAAAGAACACCGTTTGGGGCTTAAGAAAGCGGCCTAGCGATTCGCGCCAGCGCGCCCGGCCGCCTGCGTCCCTGACTCGGACTCACCCAGCATCTTGCTCAGCTCCGCGTTATGCAGGTCTGGATTCTGCTGCGCCAGCCGCTTGCGCTCGTCCTTAGCCCACACCATGAAGGCGTTCATCGGCCGCCGGATACGGGACTCGCCCTTGGCTCGGCCCGCGGTCCCGGCCGGCGCTCCGCTGCTCGCCGGCGCCTCGCCCTTCACCTTCATGTCCCCGATGGGGCTCAGCGACTCGGCCCAGGGGCAGGGGCCCAGCCCGGCCATCACCGCGGGCAGCGCGCTCCGGGTCTGGCTCTGGTCGTCACTGGCGTATCCCGCATCCGGGCTGCTCATGGCGCTCCAGGCCGGCCCCGCTCCCCTCAACTCTCCGCCGGACGCGCCGCCTCCCCCGACCCGGGGTAGGGGGTGGGGAGCGAGGCACTGAGATGCCCCGAGGGCTGCGCGGGTCTCCCGGCCGGAAGCGGCCGCCCGTGTTCTGGCCTGTCGCGGTCTACGGTCTACAGCGTGCCCAGGGCCCCCAACCGACCTAGTGACACTGCGGGCGCCCCTGGGCCGCAGGGCCTTTTCTGCACAGATGTGGCCAATGGAGCGGCGAGGGCGGGCCGGTCCAGCGTAGTTAGGCCCACGCCCAGGCCGTGGTCCGAGTCCCAAGTCCCAGTCCAACCCCACGCCCGCCCCTTGCCCCTCCCCTGGCCCCGCGCCCAGGGCTACCCCTGCCCCCGGGAAAACTAGCGGGAGCCGGGCTCTGGCGCCGCGTCCTCTCCCACCCGGGTTAGGGAGACTCGAAAAGCCATCTGGGAGGGCTGATTGTGCTTTGGAATCGACATACTTGCCCAAGGTCGTTTAGATGAACATACTGAGCGTCCATTCTATTCTCTTTAAAGCACATCTGTTTGTAGAAGCCGAGGGTGTTTCAGTGGTGGGTGACCTGGCATCTTCTTCAAATGTATTTTCTCGAATGCGAAAGACACCGTTGATAATAAATTTAAAAATACAATTTTTCCCCCAGGACTTAACTTGCCTGTGTTATGTTCAAAATGCTGTGTCCAAGATAAATCCTAATTTTCTAAAGCAAGATTAAATACGGAACGACGTTCTGGATCCAATATTCCATCACTCTGAAGAATAAAGCATTTACTCATGACAAACCAACCAGTTTTTAATGTGTGTCTTATTATACACATCATGTGAAGTATGAAAATGTGTACAAGATGTATATAAGATACGCATAACAAAACTTTCTCGCATGTGTTCAGTAACAGGTGAGCCTTAATACTGATTTCTAAAAGTAAAGACAGCAGCAATATTTGGCTAAATGTCCGAGTTTGTTAGGGGGAAGAGAACAATCTGTTTTAGCTGCAAAGTAACTGTGGTTCTTAGAGTCAGTTTAAGATGGTTATTCTGGCAGATAATTAGATTTCTATACGTTTGTTTAGACTGGAATGAAATCTGAATGACTATTAAACTTGTGTTTCGATCTGGAAAAAAAAAAGTTTTCAGTGGGACTTTTAAAACAAGCCCTTGTACAGCGCTAAGAAATGACACAGCCTGCCACTGCTATTCGTAGCGCGCTCCGGCATTAGCAAAGGAGTGTATCCTCATAATAACCCTGAGGTAGACTCTATCTTACAGGAGAGGAAACTGAGGCAGAGAAGTTAAGGAACTTGCTGGAGACTACAGTATTGAGAAGGTGGAATTCACACCCAGCAGTCTGCCTTCAGACTTGCAGCTCTTAATCACTAAGAGAGGCTGGTGTGTTTGTGTATTTGTGTTGGTTTTTGAGGGCAACCAACAGCCATTCCTGCATAATTAGAGATAACTTTGCAAAGAAATCAATATACCAATCTCCAGAACAGATTTTCTTTATTATGAAGGTGTGATAAAAAAGTAGAGCTTACACCTGGGATCCGAGAAGTAAAATGCTGCTGCTTTGAGTGTGATACTACAACAACAAGACTGTCTGTCCAGTCTTGCTTTTAGTGGCATCCACAAAAATACAAAACTTTTGCAAACTCCTGGCCTTCAGTCTCTCTGGCATTGCTTTTTCTCAAAAGAACTCTTACACAATTGTTTTAAGCCAACTTATATTTAATTCTGCAAGTATCTGTGAAGTCTTGACTAGAGGACAAGTTAAGAAAGTGTTTCTAATTCCTGGGTCTCTAAGATTCAAACAAGAAAAAAAAAATCTGCATAAAGAAATCATAGAAGGATGTTACTTTTACTTGGTAGTTTTGAAAGCAGTTGATTTTAGACAAATTTAAATGATGGTGTACTTTTCTTTTAAAGCTTTATTTTTTCTGGAAAAAAAATGGGCTTCAGAATAAAGCAAAAGCACATTGAAAATTATTAAGCAACAAAACTGCAGGAGGAGAGAGAGCAATCTGCAAATTAAGCCCGTGGTACCTTGTTTTTTGCTAGGGTTTTTTTTTTTTTTTTTTTTTTTTTTTTGGAGATCTTTGCTAACTTTTCTGGATAATAATACATATTTTTCAAAGATCTCAAAGCAGAATTTTCTCTTAACACAAAATCTTTTATGAACTAAGGAGTTTTCCTAGAATAAACATTGAAAATTAAAAACAATGTCTGATCCAGAATTCGTTTTTATCTGTCTAATCTGTTTGACTAATTCCTTAAAAAACACTACAGGAAATACAATCCAGGTGTGAGTCCAAAAAATGTACTTGCACAGATTTAGCCCTGTACACTTTCTTCATCCTCATGCTCTTCCTCACCCAGCTCATTATCTGGAGAGGTGCGCTTGGGAGCCAAGAAGGTGGAGAAAATGATGGGGAAGAAAACTTGGGATTTCCATATTTTATTGATTTATTTACTTATTTATTTATTGAGACGGAATTTCCCTCTTGTTGTCCAGGCTGGAGTGCAATGGCACGATCTCAGCTGGCAACCTCCACCTCGCCGATTCAAGCGGTTCTCCTGCCTCAGCCTCCCGAGTAGCTGGGATTACAGACGCATGCCACCACGCCCGGCTAATTTTTGTATTTTTAGTAGAGATGGGGTTTCATCATATTGGTCAGGCTGATCTCAAACTCCTGACCTCAGGTGATCCGCCCGCCTTGGCCTCCCAAAGTGCTGGGATTACAGGCGTGAGCCACCGCGCCCGGCCGAGTTTCCCTATTTTTATTTGCCCTTGTTCCTGGGGACGGATCTTGGTCGGGTAAGAGAAATCAGGTGAAAGTACACATCATAAGTTGGAGTAGATTTTGGCGCCCCTCCCCCTACTTCTTATAACACCCTCCCTGGGATCATAAATTCACAGTTTACAAATTTACAGGGGAGAATTGTGGTGGTCTTCCAACTCTAGTCCCTTTTACATACTGTGACCCAGTTAGATCTCATTTCTTCTGATCATTCGCTTGTCATTTATTTTCGGGGGGCAGTGTGGAGGGCGGCGACGTCGCTGACCCGCGCGCGGTGTGTGGAGCCTTCTATTTCAGTCTCTTCACTTTAATACATGGTGCCCCGGGACGTTATCAGAGCCAGCCACAAATGCCACATGTAAAGCAGCAAACATCCGGAGTGGCTTCCTGCAAGCCTTGCTTTTCTCAACACGAGAGATTTACGCAGGGGGTTGGGGAAAACAAGTTTCACAAGTAAGAGCCGAGTACACCGCTCGCATAGCCGGCCGGGTGCCTTAGCACTGCACGGTCCAGGGTCGCAGGACTCCCGGCTACTAATTGCGCTCACGTCCCCGGGTCCCTGGGCCGGACCTGAGGCTTGACAGGCTGGGCAAGGAAGCGACTAGCGCACCAAGAAGCTGTGCCCGTTGCCAGTTGGGGCCTTTGGTCAGCGGGCGCAGAAATTAACTCGGGTAGGTGGCGAACCGTGGGTTTGACATGGAGGAATCGGAGCCACGCTTATCCGTGGGCCCCTGAGTGACCAGGCAAAGGCTGGGTGATTTCCGGCAGGCTTTTGTGTTTTCGATGCTGGGAAAGCAAGAGCTGGAGGAAGGACACTCAAGTCGATCGGGAAGGACCCGTGGGCACCTAGGCAGATCCGGGTTGGCGCTGGAAAGCAAGTCTGTGGGGGCGGGGGAGGGGAGTGCGCGCTGCAAATCCTGGGAAAACTCCAGGCGGCCCGTGGATGACTAGACAATGGTATCCCTGAACAAAGAACAACAATAAGGCCTTTGCATTTATAAATCGTGCGCGGGCGGCTGCCTCCCGGAGGTGGCTCGCGGCGGTGGAGCGCGGCCGAGGGTCCCGCACCTCCCAGGTAGGGCCGCGCAGCCGGACGCAGCTTATTCGCACCTTGCGCCCCGGCGCCGTCTAGGCGGCGGTGCCGCGCCCCTTGATACCTTTAACGTCTCCTCCTTGTCCCCGGGCCAGTTCCCCGTGGGTCCGGGATGGAGGTCGAAGGTCGCAGGCGGGAGGGGAGGGGTAGGGGGGAGGGAATGGCCCGGAAGATCGCCGCCACCGGCTCTGCTGCTGCTCGCCCCCGGCCTTGGAGGTCCGTCCCAGGTCGGAGCCCCGCAGATGCTGCAGTGCGGGTCCTACCCAACCTATGCCGTTGTCCTCTGCTGCGCCGGCCTCTCCCCGTGGGGACTGAAAAAAAAGGGCTACAGCGAGAGGGAATTTGGGGATGCGCGCTCCCCTCGCCCCAGGACGGGAATATACATTTGACTTGGAGGCCCTCTCCCACTCCCTCCACGTGCATCCCTCCCTGGTCCGGCGTGTCCCCTCGAGGCTGCCCCCCAACTCCGCCCTGGAAGCGGGCGACTCCTCGACCGTGTCCCCGTTCCCGCTTGGCCCCGCCTGGGATTTGCACAGGCGAAGCAGGAAATGCGCTGTTCCCGGTCCACTTCCCTACTCAGAAACTCATCCGTGGAGTTTTCCTTAGATCCCCCCACCTCCAACTGTGGCCTCGGGTTGAGGTGTGTGGGCTACTTCCCTTTATGGCCTGGCCTGTGGAACCTCAGACTCCAGGGGGAGGTGGTGTTGGGAATGACGGAGAGGGTCCCGCTCTTCACCCAGGACTCATCACACACACAGCACTGTCTGGCTCACCCCTTTCAGATCTGCCCCTCAGCCTTAAAAGGGATTTCAATAGCGGCAGAGCTTCCATGCACCCGGTGCTGCAGCTGAACTCCTACTCCCACTTTCCCCATCCACACCCTAGGAGAGGCCAGGGCTTTCCTTGGAGACCTGTGTCCTCACCTGACCAGACAGCCTTATCAGCAGCGTGCCCACTGTGCGCAGAGCACTTCCACTCCCACCCGAAGGAGAATGGACGCGGTCCCTGCTTCGGAGGAATGTACCACTCAGTGTCATTAGTCTTCCTCCCTGATTCATTAACTTCCAGCTGGGTGTTCTAGATATGGTCTTCTGTAATAATTTGTTCCTGGCATGTAAAGGTGATGCTGACATCAGTAGGTCAAGCGCTTTGAGATTTTTTTTTTTCTAGTAGGGATAATAGGTTTCCTTTCCACCCTGAAAATTCTGGCTTGCCAAGTTTCCCTAGTAAGCAGGGCTGGATTGTGCCAGATGGTTAGGGCAAGGTGTGCATTCTGTTATCATGGAAGTGATCAAAGTTAAATAGGTCATAGGACAGGCCACTTCTGATAACACTCATTACCCACTCTTTTGTACAACTTTAGCCACACACATGTCAGATTTTGAAAGGCTACCTGAGTTGGCTTCCAAAGTTTCTGAACAAAAGAGAAAATGTTAGGGATCCTTACTAGATTCCTTTGCAGTCAGTATTTGGTTAATCTGTTAACTAAGTTTTCTTTTCTGTCCGCTTTTTGGACCTTGCTATCAACTTTGTCAATACTGTTTAATAACAACACAGGGTCTTAAGTACATTTCACCTTTATATCCTGAGAGCACACTCAATTCACTGTTCGTCAGTATATTCTTCAGTATACTGTTACAGCTGTCATGGATGGAGCCCTAAGGTCATCTCCCTACAAGGCAAGGCACTGAGAATGACCTCTGTAGACCTTAGCAAAGGCACTGAGAATGATCTCTGCAGACCTTAGCAAAGACTGTTCTCATCTCAGAGATATCTGTGTAGGTCTGTGGTCATCTGACTTCAGGTCTGTCATATGCTTTTTCTCATTCACCAGGAATTTAGTCTCCAAACATTAATCAAGCATCTGAAATACCACCTTTTTTGAGGATTAAGTCAAATTCTGTTTCTTTTCTGAACCAATTCCATTTGGAACTCCAGGCCAAGAATGTATATGGATAATTTTGCATATGTCTGTATTTGGAAAATTTTTCAAATTGATCTTTAGTATTAACATCTTCATAATGGTAGAGAACAGTTTACAAAACAGTTTCACTAACTCCTCTGACCCTCCTGACAACTCCGGAGGTAGACAGTGCAGCCTTTGTTATTAGCCTCATTTTTCAGAAGAGGAGATTAAGACTGAGAAAGGATACATGATTTGCTCAAAAGCACGCCACAAGAGTGCTTGGACCACCTGTCTGCCCTTGCTGCTATCAGTAGTGGGTCTTCAGGAGTTGGAGGCTGCAAGGTGCCATGTCTGTACCACTGCACTCCAGCCTGGGCAAGAGAGCAAGATCCTGTCTCTAAAAAAGCAAAACAAAACATTAGAGGGTCTTGTTTTGAATTTCTTTTCATGCCAGGTCTACAGCCAATAAGAAACCTAATGGAATGTGTAGGGACAAAATAAAGACAGTGGACAGACAGAGATGGAGTAAGGACGCTTGGCACAGAAACTTCCAGTGTTGTCCCTAACCAGGTCCTGATAATTTTTAAATATTAGAGATGTAGTGCTGTAAGAAGAAAACATTTTCACTTAGAAGATCTGTAACTTGATACTTTTATTAGATCATATAATCTAAGCCCTAGATGACATTTCATTTATCTTAACTATTATTTTATACAAACAAATTCTGATTCAGCTGAAAAAAAGAGAACAGTTCAGAGTTAAATGGGAATAAAGCTCATGTGTGAGGAAGTTGAAGTTCTCAAACTTTTGCCCCTCTACTTCACGCTCATTCAGATGGAAAGCAACTTAATTATACTGAATTGTGGTTTTGTTACCTGTTTAAGGTATAAGCTGTTAGCCTACTCTAGACCCACTGCAGACCCAGTCTTAAAGACATAAAAACATACAGCAGGTAGGTAAAGTAAATGCTCTCCATTCTTCCTGTTGTTTGGAAGAGAAATGGATGGGAAATATTATCAGTTCTGTTTTACAAAGTGAAAAAATAAGGTACAGAACAATTGGGTGATTTGCTTAATGCTTTCAAATCAGCCTAAGAGGCAAAAGAGTAATTTGTTCATTTAATCAACAAATAATTATCCAACAACTGTGAATCTGAGGCTTAGCACAGCATGACACATTGGTTATGAACACATATTTGGAGTTGAACTGCTTGGGCTGGAATTCTAGTTCTACAGTTTACCAGTGGTGTATTCCTTGGACACGTTGCTTAATCTTCTTTATACCTCATCTGTGAACTGGAGGATGGTAATAGTAATGACCTCAGGGAGTTTTATGAGGATGAAATGCATTCATTATTCATAAACTACTTATAATAGCGCCAGGCACATAGTAAGTTCTACACAGGTATTCAGTAAATAAAATTAAATTTAAATAAATGCATCTTAGCTTATGAAAACATTGTGAGAAAAAATAAAACTACCACAGTGTTGAGGGTACATGCATTATAGCAACTAGATGAAATGTATAATATCATATGTTAACATCTATGATAGCTAGTAACAACATTCTTATACTTTAATCAAAATTGTCTTATACTAGCAAAACTTTCAGAGATTTCTCTGTAAATTATTGTACATTTTCTAGTTATATTTGAATGTGAACATTTTTACTCTGGTGGTAAAAGAAGCCTTTGTTTTGTGAACGTCAACCTTCTAAACCCTGTTACAACCGGCAAGCAAAAATACAATTGCAAAGCTTTCAATATTCTATTAGTATATCTTTGCAATGCAAAGAGATGCCTTGCAAATGAGTATTTACATGGGTAGGCCTAAATTCTCCTAAAGACTTACAGAGGCAAAGTACAATCTCAATAAGTGTGCCTGGTATACATGTATTTTAGAGGAAGAATAACCCACAAGTATACTAACCTAGGCTAGATCTTTCTGTGTTGTAGAGTAAAAAGACTCTCAATTCTAGTCTTGATTTTTCAATAACTTGCTACCAGGTGAATTGCAAGTCCTCACCCTCAATTTTCCCAAAAACGAAGGGGAGAATGTCAGATCTTTGTCAGATAAAGAAGTGAAAAAAATGATCACAGAGACTTTTGTAAAGTAAAAATGCTGAGTACAACTCTGTGTGTGTGTTTGTGTGTGTGTGTTTGTGTGTCTAGGGATATAATGATGTAGAGAAAATTTTCTGTACAGAAAAAAGTAGCAAACTGAGATAAAATGCAAGTCAGGGACTGTGAAGAAGACTATACTGCTTTGGGTAAAAATGGAATGCTATTTTTTTATAGAGCAAACCCTTTTTAAAATTATTTGAAATTAATTATTGCACAAAGGGTCCCACATTTGATCCAGGGGAAAGCAGATTCTACTTTTATGAGGAATGACTATGGATTTACTGGGTTTCCATTATGTTAGTAAAGCTAATCAATTATTTTAGTGGCTAATCTAAAAGTAGAATGTGAGAATTTGGACAGAAAATAGACAACTCTTTCTTTTTGACATTTTCTGGTTATATAACATTTTTACAGGGGCTAAAAAGGACTCTATAACCCACCCTCTTCCTTCTAAGTTCCAGAATTCCTAGAGAGAGTATTGAAACATGGAAATATCTTCCATATGAAATATTACATATTCCACTAAAAATGAAAGTGTTTGTTACTTACACCACTATATAAATACACAGATATTCTTTTAAAATCACTTATTTTGAAATAATGTCAAACTTGCAGAGAAGTTCCAAGAATAACATAAAGAACTGTATCACCTTTTCTGAGACTGCTGTGTTCGCTTTTTTTTTTTTTTTTTTTCCAAGACAGTCTCACTGTCGCCCAGGCTGCAGTGCAGTGGCGCGATCTGGGCTCATTGCAACCTCCACCTGTCAGGTTCACTAGATTCTCTTGCCTCAGTCTCCAGGGTAGCCAGGATTACAGGCGTGCGCCACCACACCCAGCTAATTTTTGTATTTTTAGTAGAGATGGGTTTTCATCATGTTGGCCAGGCTGGTCTCGAACTCCTGACCTCTAGTGATCCACCTGCCTCGACCTCCCAAAGTGCTGGGATTACAGGCGTGAGCCACTGTGCCTCACCAGCATTTTATCTTTTGCTCCATCTCTATCTAAATAAAGATAAACATTTTCCCACATTTGTTCCATCTCATTCTTCTTTTCTAAATATACATACATAGAACAATAGAAATATATAGTATATTAGAATATAATAAATATATTAATTATAGATACTATATAAATATGTATTATGGATATATTGTTACATCTTCTATATTAAATCATATGCATGTGTGCATGTCATTAGTCTTTTTCTGACCCATTTGAGAGCAAACTGTGGCACAACGTCTCATCACTTACTCCAAATACTCCAGTGTGTATTCCCCTAAAATGTGGACGCTCTCCCCAAAACCATCAAATACCATACAAATTAGGAAACTGACATTACCACTATATGTCACTACCATCTAAGCCACATACCCAATTTGAATTCTGCAAACTACTTCAACAATGCCTCTTTTCTCTTTCTGGCCCAACATCCAATTCAGGATCATGTTACATTTATTTATCAAAGGTCTTCAATATTTTTCTGTCTGTCTTATAACCTTTATAGTTTTTAAGAGTGCAGGCCTTTCATGCCAAGGATGTTCCACACCCTGGTCTGTCTATGTTGACTCATACATTCTTTGTAGGAAAATCGTGGATATGGTGGTGTGCTCCCATCAGGGTATGACAAGGAAGGGCGTCAGACATCTCATCATCACTGGTGATGCTAATCTGATCACCTCATCAAGTTGATGTCTGCCCAGTTTCTGTGCCTTCAGGTCACTATTTTTCCCCTTTGTAATGGAAAATTTTGTGTGTGTGTTTGTGTTGAGAACTCTGACAATGAAATGGCCTGTAAGGAAGTCCTCCCTTCTTTTATTTATTTGTTTGTTTATTTGTATCTCTGTGGATTCCTTTTTTTTTTTTTTTTTTTTTTTTTTGAGATTCACTCTTGTCACCCAGGCTGGAGTGCAATGGCATGTTCTCAGCTCACTGCAACCTCTGCCTCCCAGGTTCAAGTGATTCTCCTGCCTCAGCCTCCCGAGTAGCTGGGATTACAGGTGCCCATCACT